GCATAGTGAATCTGACAAACGAATTTGGAAATTCCAGTAGCATACAATCTAGCAGAAAATCTCTTAATCACAACTATGATACCTAGCAAGGTATTATCATAAAAACCTATAAAATTCTCTTACCACAAAATGCATCTGGAAGGTCATCAATAAGCTGGGGACTCCAAGTCTCTGAGATTCTTCTTGGAATAGCCATTGGATCCTCTACAACCTCCTCAGTCAAACATCTTTCTTCATGATCCATTATCGTCACCTTATTTTCTTTCGCCACGATTTCCATTGTTGGTTGACCTCCAACAACACTGTAACGCCCCTGGTATATCCAATGCCACACTGAATTATGATTTACAATCAAATAGACCTATGAATTCAAAAAAATAAGTATATCAGAGCATGTTTAGCAGAATTGAAACCTGATTGTTTTGCTCCACTGACTCAAAGAGAAAGCTTGGAGCCTCTCGATCGTCTTCCTTAACCAAGCATCGGTACGCCAGAACTGGAGTGAGCTGGTCAGAAAAAATACATTTGGAAAGGGGAACCAAATTTCCATTCTTTGAAGCTTCCTCAAACTTCTTTACATCATTAGCTGACAAATGAAAATCAACATTAAACAACCAGAATAAAACAAAAATTAAATTCCCTTAGAACCAAAGCTCTACGTAATTAGACTCAAAACATATATAACAAGAGGTTGCTTTCTTTCCATTTTCTAAACTCTTCCTTTGCAATTCCATCAAGCCTCCCTCAAAACAGTGGAGCAATTAGAAAATAATTTGTTCTTGATGTTAATTCTTTTCTTCTTTTGTTTCAAATCAAATATACACATAAAAGAAAGACATTTGAAATTGGTAACATTAACTTAAGTAGTATAAATTTCGTTTCTTTCCCATCTCTTCTGCACCAAAAACACGTAAGTAAATTAAAACAAACAAAAAAGAGGAAGTCTGTTTTTGCTTTTGTTCTCTACTTCCCGCATTTTCTAAGCAACCAAACAGTGGAAATAAAGCAGAGAAAGGTCAAATAACCTAAGGACTGGTTCGAGAGAGAGCAGCATTTCGTTCTAGGGACACATGCAAGCGAAGTCGAGCTTCTGCTCGAAATGCCGATGACCGGAACCGGAGACAGCCGGTGGCTTGCCGGAACCAAACGCCAAGAGATGCACGGGGCTTGCATTCTTACAAGGGAAAAATGGGCTCTCTCTCTCTCTCTCTCTCTCTCTCTCTCTCTCTCTCTCTCTCTCTCTCTTCGGTGTTTGTGGTGGTGCTCTGGGGCGTGCTCTCTCCGAAAAATGGGGTCCAACTATTGAAACTGGACAAGTACCAAGAAAAGTGTGTGCATGTAACAGTCTGTTTGTTCTTATTTATCCTTGTCTTTTTCGTTGCCTTTTAAATGATTTTTTTTCCCTTAATTTTCATTTACATTTGGGAATGCTCAAAATTTTCTTTGGGAATTTTTTTTTCCCTTTTGATACTGAGTTACTCCATTTGGTTTGTCACCAACCACTTCATGCAAAATTTGCAAACAGGTGAGATCAGGCTTCAGAGCGTTGGGATTCAGTCAATCAATGTCACCAGATTTTGTTGCCCAGATTTGGCATTTTCAATTTACATCATGGTCCTGCACTATGAGTTGGTCGTTTTCTTTCATTATTCAGAAAGGGAATTCAAACCCGGAATCTTTTTCAATAATATTGGGAAATGAATTTAGAATTTTAAAGTTGTCAATTCATGTACGTGAATGAATTAAATCAAATTGTTGAAATTTTGAAGTATACCCTTTGGAAGCTTTGTGGAGCCAAGGCCTTGGGGCCATGCATCTCCTCTCTTCCTAGTGCATGGTGCCAAGTTTCTGAATCTGAAATCTGAATAGGCAACATTTTTTTTGGCAAATAGATGGTTACATATTTCCTTAATGAGGGAAGAAATAAATGGTACATTTCAATGCCAATTAAGAATCATATTTTTGGATATACGAGTCACATGCCAAATATTGTTATGGCAATTGAACGTACATGGAGAAGGCAAAGCACAGTGTATCGGAGGGACTAATCTTATCCAACAAAACAGGAAAAAACTTATCCAATATCAAAGCAAATAGTCACCTACCTACCCCTACCCTTATAGAATGCATCCTACATTTTTAAGGGTGGTATAAATTAAACATTAGCTAGAATATATCATTTTTCGTAATTATCGCGTAATTGTCGCTTGCAAAAATAAATTAGTATTGATTTTGAGAAACAGTTTTTAGTTATAACCCAGTCAGGCGAACTGGGTTTGATGATTTTCGAATTATTATTTTTTGGAGTTGCAATCATTAAAAACAATGTCGCTCTCAAATTTCAGAGTTGCCATGGTTTTGCTATATACATCATATATGTCTGTCTGTGGTCCCCTAAGAGCATCTCCAGCGCTCTTCGGGCTAGGGGGGAAAGGCTGCCCGACGCAGCCCGAGTGCACTCCAGCGCAGGGCCCGTAGCCCAGTTTGGTGGCGGGTCCCACGAGCCCGAGGAAGCCCAAGGGCAAGTCTTGCCCCGGGTGAAGCCCGAGTTGGGGACGCCCG